AAGAGCAAAGTTGAAGAGAACCTGTTCCATCCCTCCTGTTTGCCACATGCAGTACCACACAGTGACACACTGATGGCTCCTTGAGTTTCCAAACCACATGCAACTTAGGGGCAACCAGGAAAGGGTATAGAAAAAACCCAGCCCTGTTCTCTTTGGAAACAGCACTGCCCAAGTGCACAGAGCTTGTCCTGCCCCCGCCCTGCCATCATCTCAAGAGTGTGGCGGACAGAACCGCCACCAGAGCCCAACTGCATCTCCCACTGTCTCGAGCTCCAGTACTCCACGCTGCCTCGATGCCTACTCCTCCCGTCCCAGCCCCACACCTCCAGAAGGTGTCCGTGGCCTTGCAGTGTCCAAGCTCGGGGTCACTCCATGTACTATCCTCCTGAATCACCATCTGGTACCTAATCCTTTCTTCACCAGGGCAGAATCGCCTAGAATTGTACAATCTCAGAGCCCAGAGGAGTTTGACAGGCCATTATATTTTATATCCTTTCATTTTACTGGTGAGGAAGCTAGGAGCCAGTGCAGCTATGAGACTGACCCAGGGTCACACCTTCCATCTATTAATGACGGCATGAATTAATGATTATCTTTAAAACTTGCTATTATGTCAATAGAAAATGTGCTTTTTAAAAGAAGCATGGTAGCAAATAATTTTCCCCACAGAAAAAAAGAAGTGCCACTACCATGATTTCGTCTCTATTTCTAGGCCACACTTAGAGTTATCATCAAGAGCACTTTGCATTTGCAAGTTTCCAGATAAATTGTTTTTCTCATCATTACCACTTACTATTGAGATGTTCATCGGACACCAACATTCTGGAAGAATGGTTGCACCAAATCAGATACAAGCTATATCCGTACAGCCAAGTCCAAGTGCAAGTACACTGATGCATTGTCTGCTGCAGCTGGACACACAGAGAGTATGTGGGGCAGCCCAACTGGGTCTTTAAAACAAGCAATGTTCATTCACTTGTGTGTACAGACAATAACTGGGACTTCTATCTACCCCTCATACCCTTGTCGTAGTATAGAAGTCATTGTGTCTGGGACTTCCCCGGTGGCTCAGTGGTTAAGAATCCGCCTGCCAATGCAGGAGAAACAGGTCCGAGCCCTGGTCCGGGAAGATCCCACATGCCGTGGAGAAACTAAGCCCGTGCGCCACAACTACTGAGCCTGCGCTCTAGAGCCCATGAGCCACAACTACTGAAGCCTGCATGCCACAACTACTGAAGCCCGCACACCTAGAACCTGTGCTCCGCAAGAAGGGAAGCCACGGCAATGAGAAGCCCGCGCACTGCAACAATGAGAAGCCCGCGCACTGCAACAAAGAGTAGCCCCCACTCACTGCAACTAGAGAAAGCCTGCGCGCAGCAGCGAAGACCCAACACAGCCAAAAAGAAATGAAAAAAAAAAAAAGAAGAAGTCATTGTGTCAGCAGAGCATAAAGCAAAGGGGATGTCATGAGAACCAGAAATGATTATGAAGTCAGATAATCAGGTCACAAATGGCCACATCTTACTTCTGATTAACCACGTTAATTTCACAAGAGCCACTACTACCGAGAAGCCGTGACAAATCCACCTGGCCAGAGCATGCCTCACACTTCCCCAATACTAGTTCTAATCCTCTGCCCACTACTCCCCAAATCCTGCCCCAGAAAACTGTACTTGGGCTCACAAACTGGTAGGACTTGGCCAAAGGTGACTCACAGAGAAGAAAAAACTACGTTAGGTGCCAACATTTAGAGAAAAAAAAAAAAAATTAGGAGGTTTAACATACAACTCCAGATTTCTGGCTTCTTAAGAAATAAAAATAAAAATCGGAGATCTGGCTTTGCGGGCCAACACTGCATAGGGCCTGCCCTTCAGAGCTGAACAGCAGCTGCCCAGAGTAGAGGGGCTGGCCCTCCCCCAGTGGAGACATGCCCACCCTTGTCTTAGGAAGCCTTTTTTACCCATTAATCTCACCTGCCTGTTCTTAAGGTTTTCCAGTGAATTTTCTGGGGTGGAGAAGAATAGGAATATCACTTTTTAGTGACGGTGTATTTTACGGAGGTCATTTCTCTTCGGGCTAAGAATTATGGGAGGCTGAAACAACTCAGATGGACAATTCAGGCCTAATGAGCTTATTTTTGAAGTAAACGCTTTTGTTTAGAACCCTCATGTTGACAGTCTTCCCATGATCTAATTTTCTGGGTAGCTGATTAAGTCTAAGTCATTTTCAGCCTCTGCAAGCACAGTCACAAAGAGGGAAACCGACAAGTGTCTGCAGATGCCTATAAATGTGCTATATGTGGGTACCACTTTACAAAGTTTCAAGATCGCTTAAACAACCTCGTAGCAGCAGCCCAGCTAGCTCAAGATTTTGAAGGCAGTGGAAAGTTCTTGTTTGTTTTTGTTCTTCTGGGCGAGCGCACGTCTGTGGGCTAGGGTCTTAGCAGGGAGACTCAGCCCCTGTTCAGCAGGATGGAAAATGACAATGTGATTGATTGGGATCTCGCCACAAAGTAATCATTTCAACAGGAAAATATACTGTCTACATATTTACAAGGGTTAGAGCCCAAAGTTGTGTAGGAAGGGAATAATACATCAAAACCTCAGCTGAAGAAAATTATAAAGCGTTCACATGGAATGGCCAAGATTAACTGGGACTGCCAGAACACTTTCACCCACATGATGTACATGTTAACAACCTGATGATACGATGACAGGAAGACACATAAAACAGATATTTTTCCTGGCAAAGAGCCCTTCTGTAAACCTGGAGATATTTAAATAACCCATCTTAGCCATGATCCTGGCTAGGATGCGGATTGAAAAAAAAGCCATTGGATTGCATAACAGATTTCTTATGCATGCATTGCTCTTCCTGCCAGCTTCTGGGTTGAGAATGTTGCATCAATCCATGCAATCTTAAGATGGAAAAAATTAAAACTGGGAGACAGACTAAAATAGCAGGACTTTGTCTCGTTAGCTTTAGGACATCTGTACAAAGATGAATGCAATTATGGGAGGATGCAGACTCCTTTGTCATGTCAAGAAAAATTAATCTTTAAAAGTATACCTATATTCCCAAAGATTTCTAACGGAACGAGAATCAGCCTTTTGAGTCTCCATTATTCTTCCAGGGCATGCTGCAAACTCTCTGAGGTAATAGGCTTCTGTATAGTACTATAATACTGCTCTTGAGCCCTCGGTAAATGTTGCCACTTCCTCTTCCCCGTATACTTTCTGACTGGTGGCTGGTTTATGTTTTACTTTTTTTTTTTTTTTTTTTTTAAATGTTTTACTTGCTCTTGTGATTGATTTCTCGTCTTTAATGTTATACTGAACAGAAGCCACGACAAGCAAAATCAGGGCACCACAGAGCTTCTGCCCTTTGGGTTTAGATTCTCCAGAATAGGAAGAACTAGCAAATGAATGAATGAATAGACAGGTGCTTTTCACCTGTCTGTAAATACATGTTCGTGTCTCTTGGTTATGGACCGCCCTTGTGAACAAGTAATTATTTAAAGTTTAATTTTAATCTACACATCAGAGATGGAGATATGGAATTGCTCAGGCTTTTCTCTCAACCTCTCTCCCTCTTTGATTTTCAAGATAAAGCAAAGTAATTAATGTGCACTTTTCGACTGAAGAAATGATTAAGACCCAGCTGTGTCTGTGAAATTATCAGTTGGGATGCAACACTCGGGACTTGTTAATGCTTTTTTTGGCAATGAAGAAGAGAGACACAGGTATCTCATATTAAGTGTGTTCTAAAAAGCATAAGTTAGCAGTTTGTTTGCCAGATTAACTTTCAAAGACATCTACGTTACTAAGTTTGACTTTATTACACACCAAACTTAAATGATTGATGTACTACTGTGAAAGAGCTTTGTTCAAAACAAGACCTTTGGCAGTCTACTTCAAAGGCTTTACTAAGATAAAAAGATAGCCCCATTTTACATTAATTTCCCTGATAGATCAACACTTATTTGAAATATGCCTGAGAATTATGCAATATGTACTGTCTTATGAGTTTCCTTTCACTGTATCCAGCAGCCCCATATGGGAATGTTTTTACTTCTAAGATTTAGGAGAATTTTTCCTACACATGAAGAGCATCTTTAAGAAAATGCAGATGGGTAAAACAGTATATTGGCATTTTTATTCACTACTGTTTCATTGCAGGGTAGTATCTGACACTAAAATATAGAGATATGATTGTTTAAAAATCAACAATACTATTTCAGGATGTGGTTTCAGATGCTCCCTATAACATTCTCCACAGAGTCTGAAAGGATCCATTTATTTCTTTTTAAACATAGATTCTGTGATTTTATTTAAGTCTAAGGTCACTTCAGAATTACTACAGAATTACATAAATGAGTGAAAATCTCAACTAAGGGGCCAAGCAGGTAATGGAAATCAGTGAACTGGGCCAGTATAGTGGCGACGGGGGTTGGTGAATGGGAGCATGGTGCTTGAAGGGAACTGACATTTAGGTCATTATATCAGATATTTAATTTTTCAATATTGGGCAACTATTTCAAAATTTTGAAAGATCCTGGGCTGCCCAAACAACTCATGTCTGGGGATGGCATGCTGCTATAAACCTGCTGAGAAGAAAAAAGATGTATTTACCTTTAAAAAAAAAAAAAAAAAAAGCTTTCTCAATCATCCACATTTTTTGGAATGCTATTTCGTGACTGTGAAATAGCCACCCACAATGGCCTAACACCGACTCAGGACACAGCAGTTAAGGCTCTGAGTTACTTGTTTGGTCAAGCTTTGCAAAAGGGCCCAGACACATGGGGAAGGAGGCTGCAGTGGGTAATGGACACGGGTTCCTTATGCAAAACACCGTCATCGGTGAATTCACAGTGGAAGAGACAGGAAACAGGAGCCCCTTTCTCTAAAATTTATCTTCAAGCCCATTTCATTTTATGGAGTGGAATAAAGCTGACTTGTAAAAAAAAAAAAAAAAAAAATCCCTTCTTTGCTCTTTGGCAGGGTGAAGTACAGAAATAAAGTCTCCCCGCTGAACTACTATGAGGTCAGAAGCCTTGCTGCTATATTTCACACTGCTACACTTCGCTGGGGCTGCCTTCCCAGAAGATTCTGAGCCAATCAGTATTTCGCATGGCAACTGTAAGTATCCACAATCTCACTCTCACTCTCACTTCCTCCCTCTGTGGGCACTTGAGCCTGCGTCAACAGACAAAACATACAAATTAAACATTTCATAAAACAGGAGACTTGTTAGTCACTTTAACTTGTGTGGCTGGCAGAGGTAGATAATTCAAGTCTAGCCAAAATTGGTGGGATGACTGTTCTGTAACTCCAATAAACGTGGTTGTGAGGATCTGAAACATCCCTCAATACCTCCGATGAAGTCTCAGTTACTACAAGGAGGCTGTGATCATGCCTGGAAACCAGCTGTGGGAGGACATCATCTGGGTGTGGCCAGTACTCCGCATTTTCGTAAGTAACTAGGACAGAGGCATTGTTACAAGATAACAGAAAAGAAGAAGACTGTTTTTGAGTACTTCAGGGACAAAAATTAACTTCTGTTTAGACTTAGAAGTTTCATCATTGCTAGATTTGGATAGAGAGATTCTGAATTCATAGTAGACCTACTTTTACTGCTTATAACTTTCTTTCGATCTCTGCTTCATTGTCAAGCGTAGAAAGCAACATGATGAAAAAGTCAGTTGCCTCTTCAAAAAGAGGAAAGTTCTACCTGTGTGTGGGATGAAACAGACAATTACTTTTTTTTTCCTTCTCTCCAAAAGATAAAATATTTTGTCACAGTAAAAGTGAAAGCATTTTACCCAAATATCTATCTTCACAGTAATAATCCCCAAACACTGAAGGAACCTTAAAAAAGTATTTGACAGTAATACTAGGACACTAAAGAGATCTACCCAGCTTTCTGCTGGACCGTCTAGGTTGTAAAAGGAAATAATTTTATATGAAGGGGAGGTGTCAAGCCTTGACAGCTCTAACTGAGAACAAAAGTCAGGGTGTGACTAAAGACCAAACTGTGTAGTTTGAGACCATCATTCTTGAAGTGGCAGAGTCCACCTAACTTAAGGTACCAAACCTTAATAAGCATTTATTTATGTCCATTTGAGGTAGGTATTCTATCTTCGGTGCCCCTGTACAGAAGAGACCCCGGGCCCAAATGTGCTGCTGAAAATCATGCTTCAGTGGACACTCAAATCTTTGACAGGAGAGAGACATGAATTGTTTTAGCAACCTCCTTGATCAGTGGGTAAATGAAATTTCAGAGCAGTAGAGGAAAAAGCACAAGATAATCCCATACTAAGCTTGATTGTGAGTAAAATATACTGAGGCTCTCTAGTAAGAGTGAGTCATGCTCAGATGCTACAGGGGTTTAAGGTGTAGGGGTCTGAGCATAAACCTGTGAATGGATTACAAGTCATTATTTACACTCCTCTCACCCCCAAAATAACTGCCTTTTAAATGTGACTCATCTTTCTTTTCTCCTTAGTTTCTTTGGAGGATTGCCAGTGCTCTGGAGATTGTAGGTTTAAAGGCAGAGAGATTTTTGAGATGTAGGGATTTCCAAAGGTCAGATATTATTACAAATTGCCCACTCTCAGCTAAAGAGAATTGCAGAAAAGGAGAAATATGCTCACTGACTCTCCAGGTCAGGGAAAATTCCAGATCACCCGACTGGCTACACTCAGTTTGACCCTGTCCTGTCAAAGCCCCCATTTCTGTGAGATCAGCCAATTGCTTAACTCAAGAGCAAACTTCCCACAGTTCCTAGAATGCCAACCAACCTAGCGGGGCTGCCTTCAATAGTAGATTATTCCAACTGGACGCCTGTGGAGACTGTATTTTTCTTCTGGCTCCTGGATGAGGGCTCTTGCCTCCAGACCACATTGCCTTTGTGGTGATTGATGGGAAGGCTGCTTTGAAATAGTTTTGTCCGGAGACAAGATCTTTGGCAGACTGCCCCTCGGGCTTAGCACTCTAAAGATGAAAAGAAAACTGTGGAAGAAAAGAGCACCTTCATGTAAAGGGTTCACTGGCAAGTTTAACCCCCAGAAAGAAGGACAAGTCAGAAAGAGTGACACTTAGAAACCTAAGCCCAGACTTATTAGCATCAGGAAATGAAACTGTAACTTGATTATCCTTAAAGAGGACTCTTCTATCACAGCATTTCCTAAAATAACAGACTGGAAAATGGTGGCACGGTTGGACTTAAATATGGTTTTGTTTTGTGGCTGGCCCCCCTCCTCTCCCTGCCCTGTCAACTCTTGGCTTAATTTCCTTTTCCCTCTCTTGCCCCATCTCCTCTTTTCACAGATACAAAACAGTATCCGGTGTTTGTGGGCCACAAGCCAGGACGGAACACCACACAGAGGCATAGGCTGGACATCCAGATGATCATGATCATGAACAGAACCCTCTACATTGCTGCTAGGTGAGCCACCTTTTCCTCACGTTTGCCTTCAGAGCACCCAAGGGTCCTAATACCTAAATGTCCCCGCTATGCATCATTTTAAAGATCCCCAACAAAGTGTTCTTTAATTTAAAGTCTACTTTAGTTTGTCAAGCAGTCATTCTTTCAAGATTTTCTGTGTCTGTTTAACTTTATTATGTGGATTTGGGTAGAAATAATTGCATATTTTGGAGCTTAGACTCAAATAATCCACTGTTTATCTTGAACATCGTATATATATATACAAATATTTGCTCAAGCACAGAGTAAAGTGCTTCTCTCCTTGATACTTACTAAATTAAGTTGAATGTGTAAACATGTATCAATTTAAGTTCAATGAGTGTGTGGGTGTGTGTATATTAATCTTGTGTTTTTGCAGATAATGTATAGTATATATCATTACTTTAGCAGTAGCCATCCATTTTAGAAGTTTTTGATTTGGATCTAGTTAAGAAAATACTTATCCACTAGGGAAATGTCATTTAAACAGACCATGTCTTAAGGCTGGATGGCATGGTAAGAATACTACCCAGACAGGAATTACATGGATTAGGCTTTTGTTTCACCTCTAATCTTAATTTACCTGGACCACAACTTCTCTGGCTGTGTAAGTGTCCTCTGTTAAATGAGAGACTAGATAGATTATCTTAATGAAGTCCTTTGGGATTCTAAAAATACATGATTTCCCATCTGGGGGTGTGTGTGTAGCTCATTCAAAATATAAAGTATAACCTGGGTCTAGCCTGATGAATCGTTTTACACTGGGAAGGAGAAATAGAGATTATGTTTGTAGTACCTGTTTGGCTGTGAGCACAGGCAACAAACAGGTAAGTAGCAACAGTGCTGGATTCCTTCAAAGCACTTAGATGTTCTGAAAATACAAGCTATACAACATAAAGTAAAAATCCACTGGCTAGATTAAAATATCCTACGAGTACCCTACATTTGGTCACAGGGAACAATGCCAAAGCACTTCCTAAAATTTTTATTTCACAAATACTTATGTAGTACATATTGGTTGTATGTGCTATATAAATTGCAAATACAGTTTTAAGTCCTTTATAAATGTTAATCCATTCAATCCTGGAAAAAACCCTATGAGATGGAACTATTATCATACCCATGTCTTACAGGAGGAAACCATGTACAGAAAGGTAAAATGACTGGGTCAGAACGACAGAGGCAGGATTTGAACTGGAATGGTCTTGCTCTAGAGTCTGGGTCACTACTCCCTGTACTCCGCAGCCTACTAAGCCATAGAAGTGGTACTATTTGTCCTGGCTGATAACCTTCTCATAGCTGTTGCCCAAGAACATGGCCATTGTAGGTGTTCATTAAAAAGCAATCCAATGAGTCCTTAGTAGCCACCTCTCTGGGAGAGTTATCAGCTCCTTCTTAAATTCCAGTTTTAGTTTCCTAAATGTAGCAAGTCTGGAAGATTACATTTGTACCCAATTAGCTAAAGGATGGTCAAAACAAATGATTAAACATTGCATCTGTGAGAAATAGGTTGACTCAAGAATCTTCTATGAATTGTTCACTTTGCAACTGAGTCTTTAGGGGAAAAGAAACATTATAACAGACTGCACTTGTGCCTGATGATTTAGCATGGGTGTGAACTGCAGGTCTCGGTGGGCACCTGAGTTAGGAGCAAGGTGCTATGCAGACTTCAAAGTAACCATTATTACAGCTTGTTAAAACCGAGACCATTTTGTCGTAACTCCCTACCCCAAGAAAAGGAGAAAGAAGAGAAGGGAAAAAAAAAATAAAACGGAAACACATTCACTTTTTTAACACTATAAAACAGACTGTCTTTGGTTAAAGGTCAAATTTGTAACAGCCTAGCATTGACATGTTGGTTTTCACTCTATATGCAGCCACTTCCCTTCAATACACACCCCTGGAGAAGTTCCTAAATTATTTCTGTGGTCGCTGTATTTAGGGTCCCTCCTCTCCCTTTAATTTCAGGTTTCCCAACAGTGCCCCGGCAGCAAGTAACACGATTTAAAGTGAAATCCTTCCCCCACGCTCAAATCATGGCAACACAGTTCAGTGGTACTCACTGGAGGGGGGAAGATGAAGTCCTTGGATTTTAAGTCAGTTTGTGTTCAAATAACTTAATTCAGTGAAAGCAGGGTATGAACCCTGGGATGCACACACTGGTGCTGGGGAATAACCCCTGACCCTGGTCTGTGGTTTAGCATAAAGTGTCGTTCTGTTTGCTGGGCAATGTGATCTCTTGGAGATTGAAAAAGATTGCCACTGTCCAAAAGGAGATTTCATTCACAGAATTTTATGTTTAAAAGGCTCCCCCATTCTTCTAGACAATGTGTGTCAGCAATCAGAAGCCAAGTCCCATCCAGAACCCAGGGACTGAGTGAAGCTTGATGGGAAGAATGTCTTTCAGTTCTGCTTTATTATTATCCATTTTGTAAATTCTTCTTTCTTTGTTGTTTAATCTCTGAACTGCTAATTAACATAAACAGGCCATGCCAAAAGGGGGCAATCTAAGAGCTTTCTGGGGAATTGCCAATATTAATCAGTTGTTAGTTTACAATTCATATGTTCAGCTCTTATGTAAAGTTTTGAGGAGAGACAGGGCCAGGAAAAACCTCAAGTCATCTCAAACCTAAGACCAAAGTAATAGGCAATTCCATTCCAGTAATGAACCTGACCCACAGCACCACCAATAGAGTCAAACAAGCAATAAAGAAATGCCATAAAACTGCCTTGGAATTAAAGGGCAGGCCGATTCTGGCACCCTATTGAAGTCTGAAGAACTTCCCAATTCCGCAATTTCTCTCTCCCTCCCTCCCTCCGCGTGTCTCTCTCTCTCTCTCTCTCTCTCTCTCTCTCTCTCACGGTCCAGGAGCAGGCAAGGGAATTTTGTAGGCCAACTGCCTTGCCCCCTTATATTTTCACAGGAGACAGCCTGTTTTTATTTCTATTTTTCTCTGTTGTACTTTCCCTAAAAGCAGTAGCAAACAGATTTCCAAAGAACTGGGGGGAAAAGAATTGAAGTGACTCCTGACAGCAGATTTCTTTCTTTCTTTCCTTCTCCCCTCTCCGTTTCTTTTAAGTAATGAGGGGGCTTGAAAGTCTGCACTGGAGCCTTGAGGTCTTGCTTTAAAGCTGTGGGTAATTTTCCAGCCCCAGGACTTCCTGCATTTTAGAAAAAGTCAATGTTATTTCAAGGGAAAACGAGCTGTTTTGCTTTCCCTCACTAGCCCCCCATCTCCCCAGTTGAGTGTAGTTCTTTTCTTTCCTTTCTTCTGAATTCCAGACAAAAACGCCCTTGTACTCAGCTCACACAGAAGGGGATGTTAAATATAACCCCACACCTGAGCTGCTGATTCTGTTTCTCCCCTTCCAAGGGGAGAATGGCAGCAAATCATAAAGTCAACCAAGTTCTCAGCAAAACAGGAAGGTAAACAGAAGCAAGAAATGCAAACTTTAGCTCAAGTACATTTTAGACCTTAATTGACCATCATCGTGTGAAAAAAGAGAGTGCCTTCTGGAAACAGTTTTACTTTTATCGTCTTCCATCTTCTCAAATTATCAAAGCTAAGGCTGAAAATATGTTGTCTAAAAAGACATGGAGATGGAGAGGAGCTTTTTGTTAGCTCCCTTGATGAACAACTGTAGCATGTTGAATACCATGTGAAAGGGCATGCGAACCCATCTGTGTTCCAGTTTGGAAGCCCATTCAACTTTCAGACATCTCCCACTAAACTACATATATACAGATGTTATAGTTCTATGATGAGAGAGACGACTGGAAAGTTTTCATAAAAGGTGTCCCTTGTGGCAAGATGCCACATTTTGTCAGAAGATGCTGAATGTGAGCCAGAGGCATCTCTTGGAGGCTGAACCCTCCCCTTTTTCTTGCATATGCATGTTTTGTTTTTAATAACATGGATGTGGGTTTATCTGCCTTGAATGAGATATATACTTGTATTCAGGAGAAAATGAACGATCTTGACTCTTGTGTTTGACGTTGTATTAATATTTCTTTGTTTATAGGGACCATATTTATACTGTTGATATAGACACTTCACACACAGAAGAAATTTATTGTAGCAAAGTAAGTAGTTTTAAAACCTTCTTTCTGAAATGAAGGACCTTAGGATAGTTCTTGAAGGGAATATGTATTTTAAAGGCATTGATTGAGATGACATGGCTTATAATTTGCAACATTCTGTGAAGTCCTAATTTGGGGGTAAGTTAGGGCTTAATACATACTCAGAAATGGTTATGTACGTCATATTTTATTCATCAATGATGTGTGCATGTACACTTTGGAGTTTTAGGTAATTGCTAAATTCTTTTAATAAAATATTGGATGTTTGTCCTGGAAAATATCAGTTTTCATATGTCAACTTTTGTCCTACAAATGTTTCACTGTTATGTTTCCATATCTTGCAATACGAAGTTTGAGTTGACTGTTGTGGTTCAGGAATTTGATAATTATCCATTTCAGACACACATAAAATATAACCTTAAGCTTCCCTTATAACTCCACATGGAGGTATTTTAGTTAATAAAATCCGCCCCAGAAGTAGATGATCCCTTCAGCTCATGAGTTTATGCGAAGGAGTATAACCTGAATTAAATCTTTGCCAACCTAAAGTGAATGTCTCCTTTATGTTTAAGAAAATGACTTCCATATTTTAAGAAAAAGGCCTGCTTCACGCAAACTGATTTATCAAGTGAAAAAGAAGGGCAAGGACATGTATTTTATCAAAATGAGCGTAATTTAGCAAGTTAATGTGGATATTTTATGTGAAATGTCCATCCAGGCTGTTGTTTATTCTTCTTTCCTTTTTCCTTCATCTTCATCTCAAGGAGAAGATCATTTTGTAGTTTAATGAATAGATAGGGGTTCAAAATTAAATGAACATTTCCACCTCTAATCTTTTGCTGTTATGGTGAATTAATCATGGAGAAAGGGTGCGGAAAGCTTTCAATAAATATATGTTCAGCCTCTAGTCTCCCCCAGGGAACTCTTACTTCTAAAATCAAATGCAACAACCTCTGGGTTCTAATGGATTTCTTTCTTGATCGCTGCAGAAACTGACATGGAAATCTAGACAGGCTGATGTAGACACATGCAGAATGAAGGGAAAACATAAGGTAGGCAATTTTCCTTTCTCCTGCAGCTGCCACTTTGGGTTAAGTCCTTGACTGTTATCTCTAGCCGGAGACCGTCATGTGGAATGGGTCACACTAGTCCCTCTTGCCCCAGTAATTGTTTCTTCCATCAATTTACTGAAGGCTTTAATTTGCAAAAATAGTTTGCTTTTAATGTGATAAAACATTACGACAGCTGCTAGGGCTGCGTCATGAACTATTTAGGGGCACCAGGGATTATGGACACCGAGCTGGCTGCCCCGACTCTTGTGAGTGCCCTCTCCGGGAGCCCACGCCTCGCGGTCCAGAGCCCTCAGGGAGTCTGCAGAAGGGCTCAGAAAGGCTGCCGCAGACATACAGAAGTCTGTGCCTTTGGTCATAGAACATAAAAACACACTTCAGCCGGGAACCTTATATATCAAGGGACCCTGGAGCCTCTAGCGTTAGAATTAATGTGATGGGAAGGCTGGTACTTCCAGGCCTGCCTCCTTTTGCGGCATAAACACATACTTCCACTCTATGCCGTGTTCTTATTTACTGTTGAAAAAGCAATTGTTATTCTCATCATCATCTTGTGGTAAACATCAGGACGGGCTCAAACTTTTCACAGGGGAACTCTCCAGCCACCAGCATTTTAACCTTGCTGTTAGCAGATCATGGTACACGGTCAAGGGGTCTCTATACTGAACGGACTGGATACCAAAAAGTTTGAATTATTTTTCAGGATGAGTGTCACAACTTTATTAAAGTTCTTCTAAAGAAAAACGATGATACTTTGTTTGTCTGTGGAACTAATGCCTTCAACCCTTCCTGCAGAAACTATAAGGTAAATGCTATCTTGTCTCTTGGAACCACACAGCCCGGAGGTATTTCATAATTCACTGTGACTGTGCCTGCCGTAACCTAAGAGGGTTAATTCAACACCACCTGGGTTCCTCTCACTTGTTCGACTTAATGTATTGCTCCACATGAGTGATCCTGGGCAGGCTTCTAAGCTTCCTGTTTGTTCAGGATTGATTGATGCGGCTTTAAAGAGCCGACCCAGCTAAGTTCGTTTCTGTAAAACCCTATTCTCTATTGTTCAGAACGCCAACATATGTATCACATAGTGGATTTCCTCTCTGTCCCTTTCTCTTTTTCCCTCCCACCCTACCATCTCCTCTCTGAGCACAAAAACACACTTACATTGTGAACGATTCCTATTTTTAAAGGGATCTCAAAAGCATGTCATTGGAAACTGCAGACTTTCCTCTAGGTAAGATTTTCAAGAACACAGGAAGTTAATTCCATTCAGCACTCAGCTTACTTGACTATGGCCTTACTTAACTTGGCCTTTATGCAAGGGAAAAAAATTAACCCTCGGGCTTCCCTGGTGGCGCAGTGGCTGAGAGTCCGCCTGCCGATGCAGGGGACGCGGGTTCGTGCCCCGGTCCGGGAAGATCCCACATGCCGCGGAGCGGCTAGACCCGTGAGCCATGGCCGCTGAGCCTGCATATCCAGAGCCTGTGCTCTGCAACGGGAGAGGCCACAACAGTGAGAGGCCCGCATGCCGCAAAAAAAAAAAAAATTAACCCTCACAGCATTAATAAATCTACTTAGTTCTGCTGCAGCTGATGGTGGTGTTGCTGAAGGAGCAGAGATGGCAATGATCTGAGGTCTTTCCTTGTCCCTTCTTTCTGCAACAGTCTGTCATTTAGCAAACCCATTTTGAGTTTCTCCCGTGACCAGGCATTGATGTTGTAAAGACAGATGGGAGGCCTCCATCCTTAGGGAAGCCAGACAGGGAGAAGAAAACTGCAATCCCATGGGTTTGCTGCCATGGTGACATAATGCAGAGCATGATGGAAGCATCACAGAAAAGTGCTTATATCAGCCTGAGATGTGGAGTCAGGGAAAGCTTCCAGAAGGAGGTAGACGACTCCTGTCTTCAAGTGTTCCCTCCTGCTGTCCCCACGTATGGAACACGAACACCCCAACCCAGGAGAAACCCAAGCGTCTGTGATTGCCCAGAACCTGACACAGTGTCTCCAAACAGGTGTTCGATTAATTTTTGAGGGGTAAATAGTGAATGAGATAATGCCTAACCTCAGTCTTAGAGAAGAAGCAGAAGTTACCAAATGAAGGGAGAAGGGCATTCCAGGTAGGGGAACAGCATGAACAAAGGCACGGAGTAAGAAACAGTCTACTGAGCTTGAGAAACTTCATTTGGCTCTGAAGTGCTGGACTGTGACGTGACAGTGACAACAAAAAAGAGCCTAGAGAGGGAGGTGGCCTCGGATTAAGGGAGGAGCTGAGATTCAGGAAATACTTAAGTGACAAAAACCGGGAGGATTTGCTAATTAACAAGAAGCACAGGATAAGGAGAGATAGGAGTTAAGAACGGCTGCAAGGCTATCTCCTGGGTGGGTGGACGGATGGGGCGGCCACCAGTTTGGACAGGGAGTAAAGGAAGAGCAGTGAGGTTGAGGGGGGTGGTGAGAACACGGGGGTTCCGTCTTGCATGTTAGCAGTACTCCTGGCACCATGGATGGCAATGCCTACGGGACCTGAATAAAGAGCTCCAACAAGAAGATGGATGGGTCAACCTTGATTTAGGGAGAGACATGGGGGGCATATCTAGATTTGGGTTTCACCAGCATAAAGTGAAACCTTAGGGGTGTGAAGAATGAGCAAAGAAATGTTGGGCTGATATCAGGACCAGAGGGCTCACCAGCCTGGGTTTGACAGTTTTAAAAGACTGCCTTAGCATAGACATCGGAGGGAGGGTCTGTTTTACCCTCATGCTCATCTTTCATCTTATGTTTGGAAACGGGCACCAGCAGGGTCAGGATTAGGGTGAGGCAAGTGAGGCATTTGGCTCAGGAGCAACATGTAAGTAAGGGGGCGGGGCATCAAAAAATTCAGTAATCAAGATAAATGATATTTTCAATGCAGTATTTTTTAAATCTAAATTAATGCAAAAAATGCTGTCATATCCAAATTTTAAATAATGACAGGAGCCGATTCAGGCTGTAATAGAGGCAGCAGTCCAGTCAAACATTCAGCCAGTAACGGTATACTGGAGCACGGACTTTCATTCTACCACGTAATATTCCATCCCTGTTTGTCATTGTTTAGGACTCATTAAGATGAATGCTTCTAACAAATCCTAACAAATTCCCTAGCTGGAAAGCTATCTTTTATGACAAATTACAGGTTTTCTTGGCACTGTGATACCCGGCCTGCAAGTGGTCCAGCTCTTTCTTCCTGCACATGTTCCATTCCCCAGGAGGCTTCACCTCTAAGGGATGCCTTCATCTCTCCCTTGTTCTAGCCACACCTGCTGAAACATGTTCCAGGAGGCTGGGCCTCTCAGAAACCACAGACAGGATACACCTAGCACGGCGAATGGCAGTGAGAACCCTTGGCATTGCTCAGACAAGTGTTTTTAGACTCTCGGGGCATGAGGGACTTTGCTGAGGATATGAGACATAATGTACTCGGCTGCAGGGAGAATGGACAGCCTCTCTCTTAAGTGCTTGTTATCTCCAGATCAGGACCAAAGGGTCAAAGCAAAAACAATGACCAGTCTTCCACTAACCCAACTCTCAGAGCGCAGAAGCATAAAGTTAAACTATCTGAAGCAGGAGAGTGACAAAATTTTGGTCTTTGTTTCTGCACAGGGCCCTGACTTACACAATTTTTTTTTTTTTTTTTTTTTTTTTTCGCAGGCCTCTCACTGTTGTGGCCTCTCCCGTTGCGGAGCACAGGCTGTGGACGTGCAGGCTCAGCGGCCATGGCTCAGGGGCCCAGCCGCTCTGCGGCATGTGGGATCTTCCCGGAACGGGCACGAACTCGTGTCCCCTGCATCGGCAGCGGACTCTCAACCACTGCGCCACCAGGGAAGCCCTGAAGACCTGTTTTTAAGGTGTCTGTATTAATTTGATAATGCAAGTTGGCAAAGAGGAATTATTTAAGATTTACTAGATGGGTGAAATTTATGATTAAGATTCTAAAATACCCCAGATGTGTACGAGCATTTTTTTGCGGTACGCAGCCCTCTCACTGTTGTGGCGTCTCCCGTTGTGGAGCACAGGCTCCGGACACGCAGGCTCAGTGGCCATGGCTCGCCGGCCCAGCCGCTCCGTGGCATGTGGGATCTTCCCGGACCAGGGCACGAACCTGTGTCCCCTGCATTGGCAGACGGACTCTCAACCACTGCGCCACCAGGGAAGCCCTGACTTCCACAATTTTTGTAACAGAAGTAAGCTGAATATATTAGAGAGATTAGAGCCCCAAATAAGATTATCTGGGAAAGTATTCTGAAGGCTGCCCACTATAAATCTACAACTACACTCCATACCTTTTCCGTCCTGTTCTCTAAACCTCTTGAACTTTCGCACAAGTCAGGCTGGTTCTTAGTATAATTATCCGTACCCTACGGTGATTTAATTTACTAGGGGCTACTGTTAAGTCTAAGATCTGATGACTGCTACAAGGATTAGTTCTTACTTTATGGAAGGAGGATTTCACCATGGCATTGTTTTGTCTGTGGACTTTTCCAAGTTCCCAAACCAATACATTAATTCTTCATGGCTTCCTGCCCTTGACTAGCTATAGCTATAGCCACTTTTTTAGAAGTAGGTACATTTTAAAACATATATCCCCACTGTATATTATTGTTTCCCCATTGCCAGGATTACAGCGTGCACTGCTTGGGATAACAGCATTTCCGTTGCATCACTGTGTACCAAGCCTCACTTTGAATACTTGCCACAGACCGCAGAGTCTGTCACAGTTCATCAGACAGCTCTCCTTGGGACAAAATATTAGGAAAAGACTTTCATAAAAATGTGCTAGGGGAAGAGTACATTTGCTTTAAAGGATGTCTAACTTGAACATCTTTTCCCTAAAAATTACATTTTCAACACACTGCTTTATGTGATTCTCAGCTACAGTTTAAACAAATAGGATGGCTTCGATGGGGGAGATTTCAAAGTGCTTGTACATAGAAATGGCCTGTCATATCCCTGAAAAGGTTTCTGTGGGTTGCGGGCAAAGGGCTAGTGTTGGACAACACTAGCGGCTGCTCAGTAAGAACCTCGCTCCTTCCTCCTGGGCAGCAGCTCCAAGCACCTTGATTTAAGGCACCCTGATTTAGTGCTAAAGGCCTTTTCACAGATCCTTCCTCAGCACCACTGCCGTCTTAGGTTTATCTTCTTTCCGTTTTCATATATGTAGTCAAAGCAGGCAACTGCCAGAGGACACACAAAATACCCTAAAACCGTAAAGAAGACTGAACTACAGAGACGGTCAAAACATTGATAATGCAGAGGAGATCTCTCCAGGGACTCTGGGGTGCTGAGATTTAAATTCTAGGACGATCCATGGTGTAAGGAAGAAGCCTGTGTGGTAGGAACCCCCTTAATTATTGGTCTAGGTGGACCAACCACTGACCAGTGTTAGTGGCTGATCATCAGAGGTTCATTTCCTGCTCACATCACAGTCAAATATGGGTCAGTGAGAGAGGCTCTGTTCTATGAGGAGGTTATTCAGAAAGCCAGCTCCATTCTGCTCTTGCATCTTCCATCTCTTAGGATCTTGGAATTCTCCACTGGATCCTCTGTATCTAAGGGAAGAATGTGGAAAGAGAGCAAGAGGGGAGGATCCTGGAAGGTTTTTAGAGGCCAGACCTAGAGGTGATGCAGAGCCTTGCACACACCCCATTGGCCAGAGCTCAGTCATGTGATCATACCTGACCTGCAAGGGACGATGGGAAATGTAGTTTAGTGGGATATGTAGGCAAGGGAAATGAAATTTGGTGAACGGCTAGCGAGGCCCTGCCTCACCTGCAAATGCCTATGGAGCCAGACAGGTAACTCACAGGAGTGAAGCAAGCAGGTTGTCAGGATAATCAGTGGGTGAAGGAGCCCTGGTGCTAAAGACCACATGCCTGTTTGAAGAAAATGGCAGGGGCTGCCATTACTCAACTATCGCCTGCTGCCACTTGGGTAAGAACAGCCTAAACTGACTTTCCAACTTGTTCAAAAGAAGCAAGAAATCCAGGTTTTTATATGCAATCTCCCTGTTTTAAAATAGGGCTCACAGGGGCTTCCCTGGTGGCACAGTGGTTAAGAATCCACCTGCCAATGCAGGGGACACGGGTTCGAGCCCTGGTCCGGGAAGATCCCACATGCCGCGGAGCAACTAAGCCCGTGCGCCACAACTACTCAGCCTATACTCTACTGAGCCCACATACCACAACTACTGAAGCCCGTGTGCCTAGAGCCCACGCTCCGCAACACAAGAAGCCTGCACACCACAACAAAGAGCAGCCTCTGCTCGGCACAACTAGAGAAAGACCGCGCACAGCAACAAAGACCCAACGCAGCAAAAATAAATAAAGTTTTTTTAAAAAGGGCTCACAGGCAGGCCAGTAATAACCCCTAGCCAGTAATAACCTCTAGCTCACAGGAACAAGGCCAGGGTTGGGCATTAGGAGATGGGAGTCAAGCAGCAGCCTGTGGCTGTTGGGAGCCTCTCAGCTTCTGGGCCTTTCTCACCTGCACAGTCTGAGGATGGGACATGTTTCTGAAGTAGGTACTAAGGCTACCTGAGCTCTGCTTGCATCCATGTTTTTGTACCTTTGCTTGACGCCATACTATTCTTATCAGGTAACCCGAGAAAAGAATTCCAGCGTCGTCTCCTAGGATTTAACCCACAAAGGCAGGACTCCTCGGGCACAACAAAACGAAAATTGAAGTCATTCTCTATAGAGTTCATGACTCAACAGATAATTCATGCAGAGTAGAGGAAGGAGGGGAATTAAGTTTTCCTGGTGTCTGCCTCAGAAATTCCTTTTCCAAGGAGAAAATTGCGACTTCTTGAGCATTCCAGAAGGATACTCTTTATTGGAATAAAGGAATCTCTTTATTGTAGTGATTCAGAGTCAAGCAGACATGACTGAATTTCTGACTCTCCTAGCTGTAGAATCTTAGTCAAGTGACTTAATCTCTCTAAACCTCAGCTTCGTCATCGTCATCTGAAACCGAAAGACTTACCTCAGAGGGTATTCGAGGATTATGTGCACCATGCATATGAATTACTTAGCAAATTAAGAGCTTTGTAAATATTAGTTGCTATTACTACTGTTGGTTTCTGTTGTTCTTAATTAAGTCCTATTATTTCATTTAGATGGATACTTTGGAACCTTTTGGGGATGAATTTAGTGGAATGGCCAGATGCCCTTACGATGCCAAACATGCCAACATTGCACTGTTTGCAGGTAAATGACCTGATTTCTTCTCATTGCATTTGCTTTTGTGTGCTCAGCCTGTGGCTGCGCATCTACTCTGGAGGATTTGCAGAGTCACAGTTGTACTTCCATTCTCTAGTGAACAGTGTAATTAACAATGCCTTTTCCATTTGAAATTCATATGGAAACTGTACTTTTGCTTCTTAAGAGAAGTCTTTGCCACACTTACCCGTGCTTCTGTGCCTTCAGAAAGAATAACAACTTTGTACTGAACATGCGACATACTGGTTAGGGCATGTTTGGGCTGAAATACTAGAAAATCCCACCTTGAACCACCAACGTGGATTTAAGGTAGGGTAGACTTTGGGGTTGGTTTGATTCAACAACTCAATAATCTCATCCAGGACACAGGTCCTTTTCATTTCTCTGCTCTGCTTCCTTTCTTTCTCTGAGAGAGACTGGCTGTTCTCAGAGTCATAGGATGGCTGCCGGGGCTCAATTAGGGCTACGTGTCCTCTTGTCTACATACAGAAGGGAGAGGAAAGAGACAAAAGGAAGCTTTTGGAAGCTCGATCAGAGCAGTGAGACCACATACTCATAAGTTACCAGCAAACATCTTCTCAAATATCATTGACCTGATTAGGTTGCATGCCTATCTCTGATAGAAAAATTGTAGTGGCCAAGGGGATGATACTGATTAGCTGAGCTTGCCCAATACTCCCCATCCCTACTCCTTCCTTCCACTGCAAAAGATATAAAACAGCAACAAGTCAGCCATGACTTTCAGATCGGGATTTTTGTGTACGCATGTGTGTGTTTTAATTAGAAATTTATTTAGGAATTCACTGCCAGCTGTGCACCTGGAAGGTGGGTACAGGGAGAAGTGCTGGTATAATAGTGATTGTTATGGCATGTAATGAAGCAGTTGGCTATAGTTTCCATCACAGCAGCTTAAAAACTGGCACACCCTAGCCAGATAAGAGACGTTAGGGCTTTGATTATGGAAAAAGATGAGCTCCTTGAAATTCATCCTCCGTGCCATCCATTTGTGGGCCTGGATCTGCAGTCAAAGATTGAAGAGGTGGCTTGTGCCAGGTTCAGAAGCAAAGGTTTCTCAGGTTCTCCTCCAAAGGCAGAGCACAGTATTGTCGGGAAGCAGCACTGTGAAACACACACAGTCTTGTAAACCTGTTTGCAAGCATGGCCTGGGGCAAGGCCAGTGGTAAGGGTGTTTGAGCGTATTCTTAAGCGCATAACTTCTGCAGCAGCGCTTTTCTGACACTCGGCACCTGCATTAGTCAGTACCACGGAGGATGTGGGCTGCAGTGGAGAACACAAGTTTAACCATTAACTAAAAAGAAGTAACCTGAGGTAGAAAGAGGAGAATGGGCAGAGTGTTTACTAAGGCCACCAAGCTTCCAGAAGCAAGCCATGTGAGACCATACTGTGACTGCCCCTCTGCCCCCTCCAACAGGTGTATTTGAATCCGTGTTCACTGACATGTCTGAAATCTCATAAGAGCTCAGCCCTTATAAACACAGGATATTTGTTGCACCTCAACGGTTGCCATATTACGAAGAGTGCCAAAATAGTACTTGATTTTACAAGTAAAAGTTCTGGTGAGATACCCAGTGTACGGGGGAGCGTTCAACAGCAATAACCACACACGCACACACAGTGCTCCCACTGCCCTCCACACTTCAGGTGTATCTGTATGACCTGGGGCTAGGATTCTATAGGACAAGTTGTGATTTTTGTAGACATATGTTTATCAATAGAAAGGTGTGCTGTCTGCAGTTAAAATCTAACCCAAACAGGCAACACTTACTGATATATGAACGCCAATAGTGTAGATGTGAAGACAGCTCTATCCTGAAACTAAGTAAATGTCAGTTAAGACCAAAAGCAGACATCAAGAACTTTGCTTAGGTATGTTTGGATAAGATTTTTTTTTAAAAAAACCATATGCTTATTCCACAAGTGGAGGAGCTTAAAAGAATACTGTATTGTATATAAACCACTTTTGAAGATGCTTTCAAAGCCACAATTAATGAAGATATGTAATCCATTAAAAATGAGCCAAGGAAGTAATCTTTTATATTAAATATAATTAGTGTTTCCATTTCATCTACATAGATTTTGCTATTCCAGAACAGCCCATTTGATTATTTGTGTAAACAATGCTTGCTAATCCGGGAAAAGAACGCAAAATTGCAAGGATTCACCCTCAGTCATCTTCGCTCTCTTTTGCCTTGAACGTATCCTCAAGCATAAGTCCCAAAGAGCATGAATTCTGAAAGACCAATTTGAACTCAGCACCATCCCTTTCCCCGCCCCCCTTTACTTTGGCTTCTTATATATCAGAATGTTCTCAGTTTGTGACTTTGGAAATACTGAAGCAAATATTTCTTAAATGGAAAGTGAGACTGGCAGGGCTTAGTGGCTCTCGTGACTGAGGTAAAGAGGGGCAGAGACGCGCAGGATACACGTAGCAATTTTAGTCAGCTCTTTTTTGCTTACGAATCCCCTTTCTTCAACTTCCCTCACCTGCTCAGGCCGAGGACGCTGTTACTTCTGCTCGCACTTCAATTTTCTGGTGATAAAATCAGCCTCTATCTTTCCCTGGGCTCCTACCTAACCCAGTTTACCACGGTGTGGTGGCAGTTGCAGCGTCCAAGAGGCCTTGGCCTTGAGATTTCGGTCAAGGTACATCTAATCGAGTGAAGCAAACAACATTTTTCATTTATCCTGTTCCCTGAGCTGCTGCTTAGAAATTGCCGTGCAATTTAAAAAGTGAAAAATGTTTCATCTCTCAGGATCCCAATTTCAAATGGTTAGGAATGTGGGCCAAGTGTTTTCCCAGAGACTCTTGGGCTTTTCCCAGGTGCCCTATCTTATCTGCCTGATACAGGAAAGCCGGGCGGGGGGAGACCTCTATTATTCCCCCATGCCCACTGTCTTGCTGCAACTCCGACCACCTCTTCTCTTTCTCTTCGAAGACGGAAAACTGTACTCTGCTACAGTGACTGACTTCCTTGCCATTGATGCAGTCATCTACCGGAGCCTCGGAGACAGCCCAACCCTGCGGACCGTCAAGCATGATTCAAAATGGTTGAAAGGTGAACAAACAAAAGAAGAAAGTGGGGGAGGTGGGGGAGATACATATCCTGAGGGAGATTCAGAGCCTGGATGGACCAGACTGTAGTTGCATTTTAGTGATGGCTTCTCACAGACAGGAAGGTGGAAATTGCACCTTCTGCCCCCAGTTGATTGATTGACCTCCCCTTTTCACTTCCCATGAGTTTCTGGAGTGTTATCAAAACTACCAATGCCACTATAATAGAACACGTGGCATTTATCTTTCCTGCTTCAAGCTCTCATTTCAGAGTCCCACGTGAAAACAACTAAACACTTCATTCATGGAAGGGAACAGGGGATTGGAGGTGGTGGGGAACAGGAAAAAAGCTGTTCACAACACTGTATGAGTCAAGGGTGACAGAGATGTGTACAAAATCCATTCTGTAATTTGAGCGTTGTACTCTGGAAAATAAAATGACCTAGATATGCAAAACTCATTTATTCTTCATTGTTCACTGCAACTGCTTCTGAAAGATAAAAATCTGTAGGCTTAGGTGCTTTCTGAGATCACCAGCACTTGCATGTGTGAAGTCACTAGAAATGGTTAGTGTTAACCAAATGTCTAATGGCCCTACACTTTTAATTAATAACATGTCTTTGGTTGCAGCTGATTGCAGTTCTTTTAACTCTGTGTGACATGTCCCCAATTAAAGTGCCCATTTGTCCACAGAACCGTATTTTGTGCAAGCGGTAGATTACGGAGACTATATCTACTTCTTCTTTAGGGAAATAGCGGTGGAGTACAGCACCATGGGAAAGGTAAGAGGGGAGGATGTCTCAATTTGGGGCCAGTGTGGTTATCAATGACTTTGAAATAAGAACCATGAATCTAATGACAAGGTCATCGTTTTGAGAAGATCCAGCCAAAGACTGGTGGAAGTGAAACATTTTACCTCCTCAAAGCCCTGTATGCTTTTTCTGAGTAGTAAGAGATTACAGGGAAACCTCTTAAATGTTTATATTGAAAATTTACTAGATAGATGTTGGGTTGATTTCATACTGAGTTTCAAGTACCTTAAGGTGTGGTTTCCAGGTCCACTCATCAGGTTTTTTTGTTTTAAATTGAGTCGCTCCAGAGAGAGAGTGTGAATATTCAATATCTTTTAAGAAAACCAAGGGTCTTGACTGTATTACAAAAAGCAATAGAACACTTAGGGGATGTCTATTTCAGTTATTTTTATCAGAGAGTAGATCAAGATCACTAAGTTAGAGGGCACAATTCAATGCCAGGGTGGCTTGCACAGTTAGAGGAATTCAGAGTATGAGATGCAGAGCCCAGAGGCAGCTAGTGAGGATGGCAGAGATGGTGCATACAAGTGTGCTTTTGTTTGAGGAAATAAAAAGCTAAGCAGTCTGTATGGAAATGAGTTTATGTGGCTGGGAGCTGATCCCCTGAAGGATTTATGGCTCTGTATTAAATGCCACAGCCTTATCTTTCAAAACATGCTGTTCCAATGCTGAGTTTTTCCCTTCTTTTTTTTTTGCTACTGATTTTAGAAACACAGGATTAAATTAAGCACCTTGTTGTTCTGTTTCTGTTTTCTAAGAAAGGCAAATTCTACTAAGATCTCCACGAAAAGTAAGTGCATTTCATTTTCTCCATGTTTTTCCTCTGCAGGTAGTTTTCCCAAGAGTGGCTCAGGTTTGTAAGAATGACATGGGAGGGTCACAAAGAGTCCTGGAGAAACAGTGGACATCTTTCCTTAAAGCTCGCCTGAACTGCTCAGTTCCAGGGGACTCTCATTTTTATTTCAACATCCTCCAGGCAGTTACAGACGTGATTCGTATTAATGGCCGTGATGTTGTCCTGGCAACCTTTTCCACACCTTATAACAGGTAACCATGCCCTGGCTGTGTGGACTTAGTCGGTCCTTCCTGGCTTCCTTTTCCCAAGGGGCTCTTGTCTAACACACAAGATTTGCAACTGATGGAAAAATTGCCATTCACTATTTGTAGCTAAGAAGCACTTAACGTTCAGTTTTCATCAACAAATTAACAGTCATTTATAAGCACTGCTAGAGTAGGATTCTGGAGAAAGTAATTAGATAAATTATAACAATATAGTCTTTTCATATGCCTGGGGTATAAACACTATTCATGTGCTATTCCTCAATCCCTCCAGTAATCTTGAAAAGTGAATACTGCTGCCTTCTTTTTACACTTGAGGAAACAGTTCAATTATACTATCTGGTCCAGGTAGCCAATAGGTGGAAGCAGCAGCTTTGGAACTTAAGAATGTTCCTCCTTTCCCTTCTAGGTCATCTAACATTTTATTTGACTTTTAATATTTCTATGACTAGATCAGTAATTTTTGAAGTAAAAATACTGGAACCTTATTAAAATGCTACACAGTGAAATTTAGGAATTAGATGGGTCCATCTTGCATCCCACCTAAGGGACCCTGGTTATTATCCTGTCAGAGGAACCAGGATTCCAACCACAGCACTACTGTCTGACTCTGGAGGGTTCTACTGAGGATTTACAAGTCATCAAACGTTGCACGGAGAAATACCGTCTCAGCCTGTTCACCCCTATTTTTGTATTTACTTAAGCTAAGACACTGAGCTATTAAATGGCACACTAATAACTGTCCCTGGAACAGTGAAATGTGTAGAGACTAAAGAACAGAAGAAACAGGGACACTATGTTCCCTGCTACTTGGCTCTCCCAAACCTTAGAGTACTAGCACCGTTGTGTGGAAATGATCCTAATTCTGGCCATGGTCATGAAATTGAAATACATGTACTATGTTCTCACTTCCATGTAGAATTTTGTGTGTTCCATATAATCTTCCATAAGGAATGCACTGTTTTGTTTTGGATTATACTTTTTACAAAAACTCTGAAGAACTTGATGAGTGGCTAGATGACAGGATAGCTGCTAGGAAGAAATGCTTAAGAATTGGGTAGAGCCCATCCCTGGTGGCGCAGTTTGAGAGTCCCCCTGCCGATGCAGGGGACACGGGTTCGTGCCCCGGTCCGGGAAGATCCCACGTGCCGCGGAGCGGCTG